CCTCCTTCAAATGCGACAGATCTCACCAGTCTGTTAGCATCTGTCCTCACCGATTTCAAATTCCTTGTTACTCCACTCATATCACTCCTCACAAATCTCGTATCTCACCTCATCCCTCCTTTAAAAAATCCTTAAATGACTCACATCCCAAAACCCATATCCATTCTCCTTTGGAATGCGAATGGTGTTAGAAATCATACAGACGAGCTATCTACTTAACTACTTGACAAGAACATTGATGTGGTACTAATTACTTAAACTCGACTAACCACTAAACAACTATTCAAAATAGCGCAATACTTGACATATCGTACTGACCATCCTGACGGTAGAGCACATGCCAGTACTGCTGTCATTCTACACCAATCCCTGTCCCATCATCTACTCCCATTACCTATTTAAGATTTCCTACAATCCACAGCCATTGTAATCAAAACCTCCTTTCCCGTCACCCATCAGCATATTGCCCTAACATCTAACAGACTCATATCCAATGACCAGTTCAGTTCTTTCCTTAACTCCTTAGGACATCACTTCATCCTGGGTGCAGACTTAAACGCCAAGCATCAAGAATGGGGTTCAAGAACCACGAATTCTCGTGGTAGATCCTTGCTGTCCGCACTCAATTCCCAAAGTTTCAACCTTCTTCCTCCCAACTCACCTACCTACTGGCCAACTGATCCTAACCGCAATCCTGATATCCTCGATTTTTTTATCCACAGTGGTTTAGGTCCCTTCTATCATTCTCTAACCGGACTTGGCAAACTTTCCTCAGATCATAATCCATTGGTACTCCAATTATCTTTAGCTCCTATTCCTAAAATCTCTCCACCGTCCTTCATCAGAGGTCCAGTTAATTGGAAACTCTTTCATCAAATCCTTTCCGATAAAATTGACATCAGAATATCCCTGAAAACCCCAGAAGACCTCGATAATGGCGTAGATTCATTTACCACCACTATTCAGCAAGCAATCTGCAATGCTTCCTCCTAAAAAATTCCTAAGAAAAATAACTTACATCAATATCTTTGTTTATTTATTTAGAAATATAACAATCTGTCACGTGGACAATCATTATAGTTATATATGAACACATTCATACCATAATACTATATATAAAAATAAACTCTATACTGCTCTATCAACTCTATACTGCTCACAATTAACAAAATTGGATCAAGCAATTAAAAATAAACGCCCAGAACTGGCAAATCGGAAAAGTGTTGTGTTCCACCAAGACAACGCTAAGCCCCACACCTAATTCGTTCACTGGCAATAAATTATTGAGTGTTGGATGGGACCTTTTGCCCCACCCTCGCTATTCACCAGACCTAGCTCGAAGTGACTACCACTCATTCCGGTCTCTGTAGAACTCCATGAATGGAAAGAAATTCCAAAAGGATGAGGACATCAAAAACCACTTGGATCAGTTTTTTAACAACGAATTCCAGATATTCTATGAACATGGCATTATGCAGTTAGTGGAAAGAGGGGAAAACGTCATATTAAATAATATTTAATATATTGTAGTTTAAAATAAATTTTATGTCTATAAGACATTGAGTTTTATTTCACCCTGAAAACCCGAAAGGACTTATTTGCTAACCCAATACTTAGGTGTTATTTTATGTTTTTTGTATATATGGCGTGAATGTGTCCACACTTCACTATAATATGGTCCGTGTAACAGAATGTTATATATAAATGTAACAGAAAGTTACTGAATATATAAATTTAAAAAAAATAGCTCTGAAATTGTTTTAACTATTGTATTCAGCCTGTTTTGCAGTAAACAAGTTTAATTATATTATGATACTATAATTATGGAATAGTAAAGGCTAATGTGTTACCAAAAAAATAAAAGATTTTGAAGAATAAATCTTTGAAATAAAAGCTGAAGAATTTGAAATAAATGTAAATTTAAAAGAAGTCAAGTTTTTTTTAATGTAAAGTGCCTCAGACAACATAATAACAGACCCTTATTTCGATCAAATCCGAAAAGTTATAAAAACATGATATCGATTAAATCCTAAAAGGTACAATAAGTGGATGAGCGATTGCGAAATTCGAAATTCCTCTACATTTTAATAAAAAGCGCCCCCGACAACATTATTGTAACTGTTATATCGTTTAAATCCGAAAGTTTACAAGAACGTGATGTACGACGGCTCAATCCCATATCCGACCTTTTTTATAAGGAAAGCTAATAATTAGTTATAGTTAATTTATTTTAATCTACAATATATTGGCCATTATTTAATATGACTTTTCCCCATCTTTCCACTATGGCATAATGGCCATGTATGGAGTATATTGTTAAAAAACTGATCCAAGTGGTTTTTGATGTCCTCTTCCTTTTGGAATTTCTTTAACCGTAATAAGAGGTAGTCACTTGGAGGTCTGGTGAATAGCGAGGGTGGGGCAAAAGGTCCCATCCAACACTGAATAACTTATTGCGAGTGACCAATGAGATGTGGGGCCTAGCGTTGTCTTGGTGGAACACAACAATTTTCCGATTTGCCAGTTCTGGGCGTTTATTTTTAATTGATTGATCCAATTTTGTTAATCGTGAGCAGTATAGAGTTGAATAAATTGTTTGTCCTGATGACAATACCTCATAGAAAATAACACCCTGAAATCCCACCATATAGAAAGCATTATCTTCTTTGGTTGCAATCCGTGTTTTGACATTCTTCTAGAAGACTCACTACTAGGTCTCCAAGATTTTATACGAACTACATTATCGTGAAATATCCATTTTTCATCTGCTGTTACCAACTTTTTCAAATATGGGTGTTTTTGTTGCCGTTTTCGTAGTGAATCACAAACAGAAATGCGTGTTTGCAAGTTGAATTCGGTTAGAGAGTGAGGGGTCCAAACATTAAGCCTGGAAACATAGCTAAGGTTGTGCAAATGGTTTTCTACGCTTTTGTGCGACACATTTAGGGCTATAGCATTTTCTCACACTGATTGGGTGGGATTTTGATACTTTAGAGCGTAAAGCTAATGTGTTTGCATTTGGATTTGTTTACTTTAATGTTCCATTTATTACACCATTTGCTCACTGAGGAAGAAGAGTTTTTGCAGATTTAAGGATGCTATTTCGGGATCTGAATTGGATAAAAGGATGACGGTGTCATCAGCAAATGTTGCCAAGAAGGTATCGGGACGGACAGGAATATCAGCGGCTGATAGGTGCTGAGCAAATATTTGAGATTTTTCTTCGTCACATCTGGACCAGGTTTGGGTTTCAGTAATAAGTGGATGGCTAAATTTTTGGATTTAAGGAGCTTTTTAGTGGTCAACCATAGTGATTTGTCAGATGTAGTAGTAAGTTTTTCTGTCATGTTAAGTAAATTTTGAACTTTGTATTTTCTAATTTCAGCTTTTAGTTGGTTAGTTAATTTGTTGTAATATGTCTTATCTGATGGGTATCTAGTTCTGGATTAAAATAAGTTAATTCCTGTACAACCTTGAGTACCTCGCTATTACAGATCAGCTGGATATCCTCTTGTTCATCTTTTGAAATAATTATTTTATTATTTTATTCTTTATTAAGATATATTACAATCTGTCACAAAAATAATTAAGTTATTGCTTTTGGAGGTGTTGACAGCTAAGCCTTTGCGGAGGAGCTCTTCCTGCCATTCCACAAAAGCCTGCTGCATTTTGTCTCTTGTATCTGCAGTCAATACAATGTCATCGGCATACAATAGCCTTTGAACCATAACATTCCTAATGTTCCATTTACCGATGAACGTCCAAGTAGTACGGCGCTTACAATGTTTATGGATTTTATCTATAAATATGGTGAATAAGAGGAGGCCGAGGCTGTCTCCATCTCACATCTCTTTCTTTGGAAAAAGGCTTGGACTCCCTTCCATTGATCCTCAATTTCTTTCGCGTCCTGATAAACCGATGTAATAGCTGTGACAAGATCTCCTAGAAGATATTTTGCTTTCAAAGCATCCCATATTTATTTTCTAAGGACGGAGTGGAACGCTGCTTTAAGATCCAGGAATGCCATATATGTGTTCTATCTCTCTACCAAGCTTTCTCTGCGATGCTTCTCAGTCTTGAGTCTGCCTCCCTGAACGAAAAAGCCTGCTTGTTCTTCTTATATTTGGTTCTCGACTGCGGTCTTTAGTCTCCTTTCTAGGATTGAGGTGTATAGCTTTTGTAAGCTTATGGGCCAGTAATTTTCACAGTCAGTGGAGCTACTTTTCTTACTAATAGGAATAATGATACTGAACTCCAAATCTCTTTGAATTATTTTCGTGTACCATATTTTTTGGAAGTTGATGGATGAGCGGATCTTCGCCACAAGGCGGGTAGGCAGACCGAGACTCAGACGGCCTGATGGAATGGAAGCCGACTCCCGAAGTGTCCTTGGTGTCCACAACTGGAAGGCAGCTGCATTACTTGGAGAGGGCTGGTGATTGAAATTGCGGCAGGCTTGACTCTGTAAGAGTTGTAGAGCCATTCATGATGATGATATTTTTTGGAGGATTCGCTGAAGAAATTAACAAGCTCTTGACCTCAAAATTTGACCAATTCTGGAGCTATACCGCCACTTCTTGTTGCTTTACCTATTTTAATTTTTTCGATGGCATATTCTACCTCATGTTCCTTAATGACATCAGAGTTTGCTGGAATATAATTTTTGCACCATGATCGCCTGGATCATTAGAAGAATATTTTGATTCTCAAAAATTGAAAATGGACCGATTCCGGGTGAATCGTGTTTTTTTTTCTTGTGAATCACTTGAGAGTACGATTCTTTCATTGGAATCGTCTCTGATTGGATTCTCAATTCACCTGCCCATCTCTACTCGAAAGTATTTAAGATTGTTTAGACCTTTTAATTTAGCGGGTTTTCTTTAAATTTCATCTGTGACCGAACCTCCAAGTTCTACCAACTTCTACTTAATAATCATTTTATATCTATTGTAACTTTTATGTTTATAAGTTTCTATTTAAAGAAAAAAAAACAGGTAAAATAAGGCTAACATATCTAAGGGTTTTTATTTTATAGATATTTACAAAATTCTTGAATATTGGAATATAACATAACTTCTTATTATTTATTACAATTAATATTTAATAATATATACTGTTTTGAAGAAATATAAATGAATAACTGTATATACTTATAAAAATTCCTGGCCTAATATTTCAGGTTTTCTTTTTCCTTTCTGTGTACTTAAAATTTAGTGGCCCATGAGGCATATACATTGGATGAACTGAATAGTCTAAGAGTTTCCTCTTGAATTCAACCTTGTATGTTTCAATGATCTGAAAAAAAAGTTATTCATTGAAATATTTATTTATTTGTTAAATATATATACTGAGTCCCTCCTCCTCAGCTCCATTTCCATGGGTTGTGAAAAGCCAAGTAATGAAGAGTCCAAATTGGTATTGAACAATTATGGCAGACAATGACCAAGGCTGGATCAAAACAAGGTGGGCTACCAAGTGATAAACATTTTGGGAGTGCTCCGTCAAAAAATAGATAGAAATAATATAAATTTAACAATTTGTATTTATACTGATCTGATTATTTTACTGGATCTATCTTACCTGGTAATGAAGTTTTAGGCAAGACCTTTATCCTTCCCAGATTATGTACACCTGAAATAGGACACATGTCTTTTTTTTAACACATTGAACTTATTAAAGTACACTTGGAACTTTAAACAGTAAGAAGCGAATAGGTTTATGACAGGGATTCTAGTCTGCAGTAAAGTCAGTACCTGGATGAATTGACGCATTTCTACCATAATCTTCTCTCCTTCGAGAAGAACTGCAGCAGTAAGAAAGCTGGCCTGTTTTGCACGAAAATGTATTCAAATCTTGCTTCACAATTCAGAGCACGACCAAGATCTTGGAAACCGAATCAAATTCTAACTTAAGATCCAAAAAAGCAATTTTCTATTATTATCCTTTAAAATAATTAAACTAACTAGAATCAAACAAATATCTGATCTTGAAAATATTAGGGGGAAACTATTAGAAGGTATTAGATATACGACAAACAAAAAACATACAAGGAAGTAATAAATATTCAGGAAAACCGAAAAGCCAAGAAGTGGTTTACAGAAAAGAACGTTGAGAAAAGAATGAATGCTTACTACCTCAAGCATGAGGAAATTTGTAATTTTTATGAAGAAAAAATATTGACGTGACTAGGAGCCTACGAGTTTCAAAGGTGACGATAATTTAGGCTTTTTAAGGTAGAAAAGGTATAGTGGGAAACATTGGATACATGGTTTTTCCAGGAATGGGTTTGATCAAAGGTTATTCCTAAGTTCCTATTGGTGGGATAAAATTTTATGGGATTATCATGTAGGAACAGGGTTGGAATGTTAGGAACTGTTTTAAAGAGGTGATTGCAGCCTATGAGGATTGACTTCTTTTTTTTCAAATTCAAGTTCACAAATTTAAATCTTCTTGAAGTTTTTTTGTTGCTGGTAATAGGCCAGAAGGTGGGAATGACAGGTATATTTGGAAATCGTCTGCATAGATGTGGTATTGGGAGTGATGGATCAGGAGAGGAAGTAGGGGATTGAGAGGAACCTTGAGGGACTCCACAGTGCCCTAGAAGGAGGTTGACCTGGGACAACTACATACTGGGATCAGTGTGAAAGAAAGGATTTAAATCAACGTAGGGCACTATTAGGTAGAGGAAAATTTTGCAATTTAGCAAGGAGGATGTTATGGTCGACTGTGTCAAACGCTTTGGAAAAATCTCGAAGGATGACAGGAAGGCTGGATTTTATTAATTTTATTGGAATATTGTAATCACAATAACCATTAATGCGGGATTTTAACATAGTAGAAAGTAGTTTATCGTAGGACATATGGGAGAAAAAGAAGTCATCATGATTGAAATGGTGATATTCAATATCAGAAGAAGAAGAAGGATTATGAGTGAAGGATAAGAAATTGTTTTATATACGTTTATTTAATAAATTTTTTTTTTTGCGTTTTGGTGTATTTTGTAAACTCTTTCATCAAACCCTCTCCGATAAAATTGACCTCTGAGTAACCCTGTAAACCACTGAAGACCTGGACAATGCCATACATTCCTTCACCACCAAAATTCAAGAATCAGTCTGGACTGCTTCCGCACTTATCACTGATCACTTATCCTTAGGAAACATAATTTACCTCAACACCTCCTTGATCTAATCCATATAAAACGCCGTGCCGGATTATTATGGCAACATAACAGACATTCGGCCGACCTCCACTCCTATAATTATCACTGAAAAAAATTAAAGCAAGAATTAGCCACCTTCAAATCCCAATCATTCAACTCCTACCTCACAACACTCTCTGCTCATGATAATTCCCTTTGGAATATCACAAAAAAAATCCTCAAATCCCATAATATTTCCCACCCCCTTGGACGAGGTGATGGCTCCTGGGCAGCGTCTGATGTAGATAAAGCCGAAGAGTTTGCCAAATACCTTTCCTATACTTTCACTCCTCATCCTGAATCCCATCCCATCCACGTAGTAAAAGAATTCCTCTCTTCACCTATCCCATTCTCCTTACCACCTAAAGCTTTTAATCCCTCTAAGGTCAAATACATTCTACGGAAAATAACTCCACGTAAATCTCCTGGATATGACCTTCTAACCCCACTGATCCTCCGACAACTACCATCCAAAGCCATCATATTTCTCATATATATATATAACATTCCATCATCGTCCTTTTCTTGAAACTATCCAACAATACAGCATCCTATAGACCAATTAGCCTACTCCCAATCCTCTCAAAAGTTTTTGAAAAGATCCTGCTGAAAAGTATCCTACCTATAATTGAATCCTGTAACCTTCCAACCCATCAATTCGGATTCCGTTCCCAACATTCCACTGTTCAACAAGGACTCCGAGTTGTTGACCATGTATCCTCAACCCTAGAAAGCAAGCAGTATTGCTCGGGTACATTTCTGGACATAGCGCAAGCTTTTGACCGGGTACGGCACGCCAAATTGCTCTTCAAACTTAAATTCCATCGACCAGAGTCCTTATACCTAGTATTCCGATCCTATCTATCCTACCGCTCCTTTCGAGTTCGCTGTGGTATAGAATTCTCCGCTATTCAATTGAGGCTGGTGTTCCTCAAGGCAGCGTCTTGGGTCCCATCCTTTACATTCTCTTTACCGCTGATGTCCTTGTCCATCCCAATTGAACTGTTATTTTATATTTTAACTTCATTCAGCTTCCTTTCTCAGACACAGTCCGGTATCTTGGCTTTCTCTTAGATAGATGACTAACGTGGAATCTACATACTAGACTTAAAAGACAGGAACTTAATAGACGATATGGCCAGCTATATAGACTACTGAATAGAAAATCAAAACTTTCTATTGAAAACAAATTACTGATCTACAAGACAATACTGAAACCCATCTGGACCTACAGACTAGAACTGTGAACAGCTAAATTTTCTAACATCATACGCATTGAATCCTTCCAGTCTAAAGTCATCCGTACAATGGTCGATGCTCCCTTCTATTTCACCAATAAAACCCTGCATAATGACCTTATATTCCATTTATTCTTGATCTTACCCCAGAAAATTTTTCCAAATTTCACATTAACCTTACTCATCACCCATATCCCGTAGCACAATCTCTATCAAGCACCACCCATCCCTACAGTCCCCCTCGTTGGTTAAATCGGCAGTGGCCCCAAGATCTTATGTAAATATGGATATATTAGAGTTCGAGCAATGGCTAGATTCTCCACTCAAGTCATGGGTGTCAGCGGCTGTAGCGCTCTTACTCATCCTCAGCTAGTTTTAAATACCAGTGAAGTGGTTGAGGAAGAATCGCAGGTATCTCCTAAGCTTCGCTTTTCCCTCCACAAGTGGGGGGGGGGGGACAAAATTGGTTCGGAGTTTCCCTGGCTGATTGTAAATAGTGTATATAGGTATGCTTGTATCTAAGATGTTCATTTTACTTTTATTTTTATAATTACTTACTTATGTGTATATATATAATTTTTTTTTCACTCTCCTTATAATGTTTTATTTTGTTTTTATTTCTATGTATTCTTTTGTTATTACTTTATTTATTTATATTTCTGTATATACGGTGTGAATGTACTCTTTGAACACTGAAATTATAAGTGTCCTTAACTGAGACAGCTAGTAATCTTTACAATAAAAAAAAAGAAAGGTACATTTGAAAATATTTTAACAAAGAATTGAATATATAACATAGTTATAAATTTGGAGAGTTACGGTGCTGTCTCCATAACAAACATAAACACTTAAAATGAATAATGCTAAAAGCTGAAAAACATTTATGATTCTTTAGTCCGCACATCCTTAAAATAAATTGAGAATGGCAACAAAAAAAAACATTTTCTAATAAAAATACAATTTTTCACAAAGTGATAAGTTATGTTAAAATGCCTTAACAAAGCATTCAACCAAGTTACAAGAAAAAAAAACAGATTGACCGCGTGCTGGTGTATAAGAGACCTCTAAACTCCATCCAAGGCATAAGACGCTGTCTAGTCCGAGATCTAGAAAGCTTTTTTTTTAAAAAAAAGATGCTCAGAGTATGAAAACTGATTGTGCGATAGTTTCCTCGACGTTGGCCGTGCTTTTGACAATGTTGGCCACAAACACATCGTGAGCTCTTGAGAAGCATCAGGTGTGTCATCGAATCTTAAAAATGTCATATCAGCTCTCCTTAGCACGAACACTATAAATAAAGATTAGTAACGGTGTCCATACAACTAGCCAGATCTGTGCTGCGCGGTGCGCCCCAAGACGGCTTCAACCTGGCCATCAACCATCTCTACCGCGACCTGTGTGATGAAGACTTTTCCAAAAATTTGGATATAAATTAAGAAATGACCAAGATTGTGTGGTCCTCACAGGATCCGCGGATGACCAGGCTGTGTCGGCGCGAGACAAGGGGGCTGTAGAAAGAGTGGTTGACAGCGTACAGAGGACATTTAAAGAAATTGGTTTGGCTATAAATCCTCAGAAAAGCATGGGCATCGTTCTAAATAAAGGAGAGCTGGAAACTGCGGTGCTCTCCTTTGAAAATGGAGAGTACATCCAAACATTGAAGAATTGAGATACGATTAAGTATTTAGGATGTACATTCTCGGGAGAGCTACAATTCAACTAAGATTCGGTGACTAAATTTAATGATAATCTAAACAAGCTGGCAACCTCTTAGTTACTTAAACCTGAGCAGAAACTCAACATTGTCAATCAATATCTGTTCCTGGGTCTTACTTACCCTTTACAAACTGCGCCCC